GATAACGATAACAAGAAATTACCTAGTGATAGAAACAACTGAGAATGCGATACCCGTGATGACACCCGTATATGCTGGAGCGATTTGAAGCAATGCTGTTTGAACACCAGGCGTATGCAGACCTATAGGTAAATGTGAGTTTAGGTAGGAAAAATCATCTGGAGACTTTAGTTGATCAATTACTTCGTTTATGAAACAGAATCATTGAAGATATCGTCGAAAATAATCGTCGAAGATAAGATATCAAATCTACTAATTCAATTTGAAATTGATATATGGCGTGATGTAATAACCGGGAATGAAAACCATCAAAACATTGACAATCGCAGTCGATGTCACTCGATTTTTTGTTTTAATCTCATCATGTCAGAATGTGAAACTGTATTTCTTGGCTTAGGAAATCATTTTTTTCCCAATTTTTTCACTCGAACCATCAACATGCCTATTTGAAATCATTCAAGAACAGTACCCTCAAAATACCACCGGTGGATACGGTTCTCGGACGGTAAATTTTGCAATGGAAACGAACCTGCAAAAGCATTCGCAGAGCATAGCGCAACAATAGCGAGAGGAATTTGATCATGATTCTTCAAAAGAGGTACGATAGCCAGTGATACGGCAAGACCGGCTGAGGCGATTGCGTTGAAGATTTTGACGAGTGGAGTTCGACCGAGGAGGCAGAAACCGTGCTTACGAGCACTCAAATACGATGACAGCGACGAGGAGAGCGTTTTCGTTAACCACAAACACAGCAACGGAAGTGCCGATAGAAAACCATTGGCCGCTTTTGCAACACCCAATACATCGTTCAAGTATGTTGGCAGTAACTGAAGTTCAAAATGCCATCGGCAATTATTCATTCGACATTCCTCTCGATTAGCCATAGCAAATGCTTTTTGCGATTTTGGTTCGGTGGACTCGTGTCCGAAAGTGCAGTAAAATGAACACTTTAACTCTCTTCTAGAGATGTATGAGAAAATTGTGGGTGATGGGGAGTTCATAATCTTTATGAGTTCTTGGAATTTTGAGGATTCGAATCGTTTGTGGATCTTCTAGAATGTCGCGTTGCTGCGTCTCAGTCTTATCAAATGACGTTCATTTCTTGTTGATTTACATACGGAACTGTTTCGATGAAGAAGTCCCCATGCCAATTTAGCAAGTGCTCACTTGAAATAGGTCAATGAAGAGACTAAGCAATCAGAACACACAGGTTCATAAGTAAACATATATTTGCCTATATCGACTGCAACTTAAAACTTTCCGAGAGTTTAAAAATCTTCAGCGTAAGCAAGGGAAAATTTGAGTTGCATCAACTCGAACAATGAGATCTTCACTTAAGATTATCCTCTTAAGTTAGATATACTTAAGGTCAAAAGATATTGTTGATCAAAATCGAACACACTGAGAATGGTCAAAGAATATCGTCGCATGGAGGTATTGCAATGCTTTACAATGTTGGACTGCGGAAAATAATAGGTCACAGTAATAGTTGGTTTCAAGCGGAATGCTGTTGGCTTTGAACTCAATGGAACGTCGAAAGCAGGCATTAAATGACGGTGAATGTTGAGAACAAGTAGACAACTTACGGATAGCATAATGACAAGTGGATATTCGTGACATACAAGAGCGAGTACACCGATAATGAACGGTCGAGATGTCAATAAAGCTCTCCAAGGAACTGCACTTCGCTGCTTACGCTTCAAAAACACAATGGAATAAGTTTTCAGGTTCAGTTGCAAACAAACTTGAAACAATTTGGTACGGAACGTAAAAACATATTTGCAATGTTTCTTTTGCAACAAACTTTCATTTTTGTAAAGGTATTATGTTTCATGCATAAGAATGCACAATATTTTACAATCAAATGATCGAGTCATCGGAAAAGATTCTAAATGCACTTTCATCGGAAAGAATTTACGCTGGTGAGCAAAAATCATTGAACATCCATTTAGAAATACTCCGAAAGAATATTGCTCAAAATCAATATCAGAATTCAGTTGGTTAAGTTACCTTTCCAAGCGATTCATTGCTGGTTTTTCTCAAAATATAAGTATTTTCTAGTGAGCTGATACAAAAATGTTTCGACGGTTTATCAGCCGCTAATATCAACCAAACGATCAGAATGAAGCCACCGGCTGCAGCCGACACGTAATATGTTGGTTTCCATCCACCAAATGCACCTGTTCGTGAGCAGAACAATCCAGACACTGGTAGAATTATCAAATTACCTGAAAACAGTCAATGATCGCTGAAACCAAATCCCTCAGATTCAAAACATATGCTTCTTAGGTTCAGTTTCGATCCATCAAATCATTTTCCGACTTCGTAATGGTCTTGTTCCATGTGATGTTAAGTGCAAATGCCCGCTGATCACAATTGTTGAGTTGATCTCGTCCACGATTCACTTTACGTGTAACTTTTGAAAGATGATCACAACATCGGATCATCGAATTAGCAGGCCAAATGCGATTGTATCTTTTCAGCATATTCATCTGACTCATTTAAATGAAAAATTTTAAGTCGTTGTTTCGAGATGCAAAGCAAATCTGTCACTGATTTCCTTCCAGGCAGACTTTGAAATCAATATGAACATTCCACAGGTCTATCGAGATGTGCGCTGAAACTTTCCATTTTTCATCAGAAAATATCTGTAAAATTGCAACAGACATATCTGAACTAATACAATCGCTTTTCCTGAGTCCAATAAACTAAACCAGCAAAGTAGTCAAATCCGCAAATGCACTCAGCAAGAAACCAACCAATTTGACGACCACCCGTAATGAAACCAATTGCGAACGGTCGTTCTTTCGGCGGAAACCATCTGGTGATCATGGAATTGATCGTTGGTGTCATCAACGCATCAGACACACCACTTAAGATCCTTGCACCGATCACCAATATAATCGAATACTCGGCCAAGAACGGAACAAGCATATTACTGAGGATTGTTGTTAGCAACGCTACGATCATTGTCCATTTACCGTTGAGACGATCAGCCACTGTACCGGTGATCAACATCAAAAACGCACCAGCATTCTGTGCGGCCAGAACAAATCCTGAACTATTTGGCCACATTCTCAGGAAGATTTCTAATCAGTTAGGCATGGAATCATGAATGATTTCAAAGGAGTTTACAGATCAGTTAGAACAAGAAAGGGAAGTAATGTTGTTCTCGAGCGCTGTTAATGAATCTCAACAATATCCGTTTCAAAACTGATGTCGATGAGAAATCTCCAGCTTCCATCTGCAGAATTTCATTGGTGAATCATAAAATCTCACAAAGTGGGTGAAACGACTTGATTCCTTAATATAGTATGCGATATGAGATTGTAAGAATGGTGATGGATGTATGTATCATCAGGCACACCTGACAGATGCTAACTACCTTTCTGTAAGGACGTCCATTCCAACGTTG